ATTTTCGACACATTTTCACATCTTTTATAGCAGTAATAAACTGTTCTCAAGTGTACAGTTCAGTGAAATGATCTACATTATGAAGTCCTTAAAATACTCCCTTGGATTTTTTTACTTATTCATTACTTTTTCACTATATAATCCCGCACGTTGTAGGCTCCCAACAATTATTTATTAAATTGCTGAATTCAACTGGTAGACTGTAAAATCATAAAAGGCAGAAATTACACCTTTTTAACCTAATTTTATATAGACCTTAGAAAGAAATCTTGCAGATTTTAAGCAGCCAAAAAAAAAAAAAAAAAAATCTGCTGATGTGATGCCTGTAATCATGGTATTAATAATAATTTCAATGTTTTCAAATAGAAAACGTATTTCTGTGAGACAGGAGAACATAAGTTATAAGTGAATAGATTCTGGAGTCTGACAGACTTGTGTTCAAAATTGGACTCTGCCCCTCAGGAGCTATGTGACACTGTGACCACTGCTGACAATAGTCTCAGGGGCTCGGTTTCCCCAAACAAAAAAACTGATCAGCTGATGCTATCTGCCTCATAAAGTTGTTTTAAAGATTAAATAGACCAGGCACAGGGGCTTACGCCTGTAATACCAAGGCAGCACTTTGAGAGGCAGATGCGGGAGGATCACTTGATCTCAGGAGTTCGAGACCAGCCTAGGTAACATGGTGAGATGATGTCTCTACAAAAAATAAAAATAAGGCTGGGCATGGCAGTTCACACCTGTAATGCCAGCACTTTGGGAGGCCAAGGTGGGCAGATCACTGGAGGCTAGAATTCGAGACCAGCCTGGTCAACATGGCGAAACCCTTTCTCTACTAAAACTGCAAAAAATTAGCAGGGGATAGTAACCTGGGAGGCAGAGATTGCAGTAAGCCAAGATCACACCACTGCACTCCAGTCTGGAATCTGTCTCAAATAAATAAATAATAAAACATAAAAATAAAAACATAAAAAATGAGCCCAGTGTGCTGGTGCATGCCTGTAGTCCCAGATACTCGGGAGGCTGAGGCAGGAGGATCACCTGATCTTGGGAGATCAAGACTGCAGTGAGCCATGATCATGCAATTGCACTTTAGCCTGGGCAACAGAGTAAGACCCTGTCTCAAAAACAAAAAGAAAAAAACATTAAATAAAGTCACGCATATAGAGTGATTAGCACATACACCTAGCGCATAGTAATGCATGCTGTTTGTGTATGTCTTGCTTTAATTTATAAGACCAGAGTGTCATATAGGCAGCTGGTCAGTTTGTGTAATCTTACAGCAGTGTGCTAGCCCTCTAATATAAACCTTTTACTCCATAAAATAGGCTTATTTGGAGCAGTCTAAACTGAGGGTCCCATATTAACAATGATAATCTCCTAAAATAAGAAGGAAGTTGAGTTTCCAGACACTGTAGGCATCCCACTGGCATATTCCTGGCTTGGTTATGGCCATATGGCTTGTATCTCTTCTCACATCCAAAACCTAGGGGACTGACAGGCATCCTATTGTCAATTTGTACATGTTCCCTGACCTAAAATAACCATGACTAGGAACGCTGGTTAAAGCAAGGTATTCTGGGATCCTTTCAGGGCAAACAGTTTCAGGTGGCAAAGTAGCAGAGACAGCAATAGGTCCTTTAAGTCAGGTCAAGTTCAGAGCACTTGGAGAGACAGGCATAGAGCCTGCTGAGAATGACCAACCTTCTGCAGGGAAGAGTTGTCAAAGACTTGTGAGTAACCTTTCAGTGGAGGGCTGGGCTTAGTGCAGCACTCCCTCTGGGAATTACCTTATTTTAAAGGGGTGTGTACCTTTGATTGTCCTCCTAGCGAGCTGGCCATTTTACAATGCTGTCGGGGTAAATATTACCTTGTGCGAGCTGATAGTAAAGCAAGTATTTCTTGTCCACAGCAATACAAATGAATATGGTTTGGTAGAAATACAATTGATTTCCACCCTCCAGAATAGATGGCTCCAACATTTATACTTATAGGATTGCCTTACATAGTATCAGCTAATTTTGCATCTATTAGCAAGTTCATTTCACCATTCCTGATTTTATGTGTGTGCATCTAATATTTGCTCTTTGAACTCTCCTTTCAACCAGTTTCAATATCTTTCTGGTTTTTCTAATTAAATACTAAATTCGTTCAATATTTGGCATATGTTTATATTTGAAGAGAGTCATTATTTTAGATTTGTGTAACTTATAGCCTAGAACATTGTAACATGGTGCTTCCCATGAAGAATGCATTTTCCCAGAAATTGATGAGGTAGAAAGGAGCTTTTAGTTTTGCCCAGAATTATTTATTTTTCTAAAAAACAAAGAAGTAAAACAAGTATGTCAAAATGTTTAACTGCTATTAGCTATTTTATTTAGGTAGTATGCAGATGCATAAGTGTCTGTTAAAGTATTTTATATACTTTCTTTTTTACTAAAGTGTTTCATAAATTTTTTAATGTTTTTCCCATGCATACATGTTATAAACCTTTATACTCCTGAAGATGTAGGCCTTCTTCCACTTAGTTCTTCAATACGTCCTGATTCAGTAAGAGGCATATTATAGGCAATTAATAATAAATGCTTACAAAATTTAATTACTAGGAATATGCTATCACATTAAGGGAAAGTGCATCAGACTCCAGAGCCAGCGCGTCTCAGGGAAACAAGAAAAGAACTGTCCCCGGGCTGTGCCGTAAACCCAGCTCTCTGGATCATTTGAGAGAAATGTTGATTTTGGTCTATCGCTCTCCATGTAACCATCATGCCCAGAAAATAGCCCAAGACTTGCCTGAAAAGAGCCCAACTTACAGCTTAAGGCCAAGCAACTGGCAGTCACTATTGAGTTGGCTGCCTTGTTGACACAGACTGAAAAACCTAAGTCAGTTTTCTGATTAAGATGTCACTATAATCTGCTAGCAAGAGGCGATCAGAAAGATGTGTCACTACTCTGACTCTTCCTCACAATAATAATGGCCATCGTGGACCAAAATATGAGAACTGATCCTCTTAAACAGAACATGTACTTCAAAATGTTTTGAAATGTTTTTCACTGCAGGTGGAAATTGTAGAATAGCAAACAAAACACCTGTATCATTTGGAAGTTGGAAGACCTCCTATTCAACCACTTGATTTAATCTGGCCACTCATATAGCCTTTCCAAGTGTAAGATATAGTTCATTATACTGCCCAGCCTACTTCTTTTATAAGAAACAGGTTCTTTTTTTTTTTTTTTTTTTTGAGATGAAGTCTCACTCTGTTACCAGGCTAGAGAGCAGTGGTGCGATCTCGGCTCACTGCAACCTCCGCCTCCTGGGTTCAAGAGTATGAGAATCAAAGGAAGAGGGGTAGCATTGAACAACTGATTTATTTACATTATAATTCTGACCCAGCTGCATAAAATCGCCTAAACCTCAGAGTGATCAAATTATAAGCTGGGAAATATCTAGCAAGAGGCCAAAGCTATGGCCCCTGGACAGCAGCACTCCTGTCCTGGTCGCCCCAGCTTCAGGCTGCTATTTTCACAATTACCATATTAGAAAACTTGAGTGTGACACTAAGAGGTATTTGGAAGGGCTGGGCATGGTGGCACAGGCCAATAATCCTGGCACTTTGGGAGGCAGTGGCCAGTGAATTGCTTGAGCCCAGCAGTGCAAGACCATAGCCTGGGAAACAAGGTGAAACCCTGTCTCTACTGAAAAAAAAAAAAAATGTATTTGATATGTAATAGCCTTGGATGACTTTCTAAAAATAAGAAATAGGAGTAATTAGGCCAGGCACAGTGGCTCATGCCTGTAATTTCAACACTTTGGGAGGCTAAGGTGGGAAAATCCCTTGAGCCCAGGAGTTAGAGGTTGCAGTGAGCTATGATTGAGCCACTGCATTCCAGCCTGGGAGACAGAGTGAGACTGTGTCTCAAAAAAAAAAAAAAAGGAAAGAAAAGAAAAAGAAGTAATCAAAATTTTTTTTAAAGGAGAGAGAATTATCTGGTTTAGGCAAGGCTTGCTTTTACGTGGCTTGGGGTCAGTGGACAGATAACCTGATATTGATTGATGCTCACTAGGGCAGCTCTCCTCCATGTTTCTGTTTCTTAAGAGTTCACAGGTATAGGAGAGGCTTGAAAAGTACTGATATAACTGGTCTCAACCATTTTTATAGATTTCCTGTACAAAGGAATATAACTTACTTCCTGTATGAATCATATACCAAAGGCAATTGCTTTCCTCATCATTGATGAACTACTGTAACAGAAAACGTCTGCTTATAGTGGACTGTTTTCTGTTACCCTGTTTGACTTCTGTGGCATTTAAATTACACAGATCTGCTCTACTGTGATTAAAGAGGAGATGCTCTTAATATTTACAATTCTCTCTCCTGTCTCCCCTAAGAAAATTACCACAATGTAGCTTCAATTACATATCTTTTAGTTTTTCTGTTTTCCTTTGGAAAACCAAAAACACTACAAAATAAAATGTATATAAAATATAAGTGCTCAATTCTTTACATTTTTGGAACAATTAGACAAGATTTGGAAAATCAGCTTTGTCTCGTATCCTTCCTGCTTTTCCACTAAGCTGGCACGTACTTCGATCAGTGTCTCTAGTCAATACCTCTGGCCAAAGAGAAAAACTAACACACTAAAACAACTAGGCTAGGCGCAGTGGCCCATGCCTGTAATCCCGGCACCTTGGGAGGTTGAGGCAGGAGGATCACTCAAGTCCAGGAGTTCAACACCAGCTTGGGCAACATGGTAAAACCCCATCTCTATGCAAAAATATAAAAATTTGTCAGGTTTGGTTGTACTCAAAGTAGGAGGATCGCTTGAGCCCAGATAAAGTGGAGGTTGCAGTTGGAGCCGAAATCATGCCAATGCACTCCAGCCTGGGTGGCAGAGGGAGACTGTCTTTAAAAAATAAATAAATAAATAACTACAAGAACCAATATATTAGAGTCGCCAATGAATTTTTAATTTGTCCTTTTGCCTTGATTTCCTTTACTTCCCTTTTATGCCACTAATAACATTTTCAAGTTTAATTTTACTTCCTGAAAATAAGGGTATCTTTCTTATATCTAGCCAATTTCCCCACCTACCTATATCCAAATTACAGGAAGATGAAGCTGTCTTCAAGGTTTTACAGGAAGATGAAGCTGTCTTCAAGGTATGCCTTTCAAGCTGTGGGTTCCCAATTTCTTCTGATAACCACGGAGCTGTGGGTTCCTGCAGCACTGCCCACCCTCACCACATTCTTCACATTCATCTTGCCCCAGGTGGAGTGGAGGAAATGCTAGCATGTTCAACAGCCACAGTGAGGGTCCCATGGCTGATGAAAAGGGGAACATGTGATAAAAGGCCCGGAATGGCCTCCTGGGAGGGGCCATCATTGCACAGCGTACTGTCAGCCCTGGAGTCAGCAGCCAACAGCATATTTTCCTGTGGTATTTTCTCTACTTTCCTGGCTTGGGATGGTGTTTGAAGGGACCACTTGGAGGAACTATTTCGAAAATAGGCACAGTTGGTGCCTCATGCTGGAGAGACTTGCACATTTACTTAACTTTGTGCTTGTCCATCTCCCACTGCTCCCCAAAGAAGGTGTGAACCACTTTTATCCTGTAAACCAGAAACAGGAACTGAATGGCCCTCTAATCAGACGTCTGAAACAGGAAGCAGGTCACAGTTCTTATAGCCACCAGAGGGGAACTGCCCTGTAAACAGAGAACTCCCAGAAGGCTGGCTCCAGCTAAGGCCACTGGTGAGACAAGCCTGTGTCCTGCGCTTATATAACACATAGGCTTCACCTAGAGATGGAGCCAGCGTGAACTACCAACTGATAAATGTCTCAAGTAGACAAAAGGTGACCAACTTAAGGAAGGAAACGGGATCCCAGCAGCCTAAGAAGCAGGGCCAGTCATGACAACATGCAGTTGATTATGTGGGGTAAGAAATCGGTCCTCTAAAAACTAATCTATTTGTGCTCTGGAGTTTTCTTTTTGATTTTGCTTTTTTCCATCCAATTTTCTATTTAAGCTCTTTTTTAAAAATTATAGTTTTGCCTTAATTGACCCATTATCCAAGAAAGCAAGAAGCAGCACAGCGCTGTCAGTTCGTGTGGGGTGGGTGGCAGCTGCCGCAATGGTGTGCCAGGGAACGTGAAAAGCTCAGAGAAAAACCATGTGTTGGACCCCACTAGGATGTTTTAAAATCCCTTCCTAACCGGAGTTTTCCCTTATGAGCTTATGTACCTTTGTTCTTTTGATAATTTTACTAAGGCTCATTTTGCACATGACGCAGTGGCTGAAAGGTGGGAAGGGGCTGCAGGGCGGTTCCAATCAGAGGCTCTCAAACACAACTCTGTTGACTGGTGTGATAAAGTTTTCACTCGTCCATGGAGAAATGGGAAAAATAAATAATGTCATGAGTTTTTCCGTCCATTTCCATATGCAAAGATCTGTCCTTTATTCTAAGGTTACATCCCCTCCTAATTTTTTTTAACATAAAACTTCTTTTTAGGAAATCATGGCAATAGGTAGCTGATTGTTGATTTTCCTCTCTCTCTCTCTCTGTCTCTCGATTTTCCTCACTCTCTCTCTCTACTTATAATACCCTTACTTGGAAAAATTTAAATGTTGGCAAACACATGTCATCCTCCAATTTTTTTTAACTGGTTCATGGGAAATATTATTTAGGAAATACAGACTTTATCCTTTCCTTCAAAATATATGAGATGATATACTTGGAAAGTATATTGAAAGTAGAAATGCAGAAATGGGCTGGAAAATTTTCAAGAACTTCTCCATCTGGGATAGATGGGATACAAGGTTATGTTCTGTTTTGTTTTATTATTGTTTTACCAAATAAGAGTAGAAGTCCTAAGAAGCTTTCTTGGACACAAGTTAGAGCCAAAGCCCAGCAAGTTCAGATGCCTCTCCAGCAAGATGGCATATTAACACATAGGCGACTTTCGTCATAAGCTCAGGTGAAGTGGGAATATACTACAGATGAAAATAGAAAAGCTAAGTTCTTATAATTTCGACTAGCATGTGCTTCCTTCCTGTTACTTACGATTGCTACAGGGTGAAAGGCTGAGTAAGAGATTGCAATCTGCAGTGAGCCAAGCTAAAAGGCCCGGGCGGATGTGAAGGCTGGTGGCAAGGAAATGGGAAGCCGGCAGCCCATCTACCCTGTGTCCACTGAGGGAGTGAGGTGGCCTTGAGCACAGCAGCATTCCTGGGTCTTACCTCGGCAGGAAGTTGAAGGGGAAGAAGCCTGAAGGAGGTGAAAGTGTTCTTAAATCTCCTGCAGGCACTGCCTCCTCCTTCACACAGCATCCCTCATCTCCCTATAGCCACCTGGTCTTCCCTTTGTCCCCTATCTCACCACAGTGCCACCAACGCCACCACTCCAAGTTGATGCTTCTCCTATATCTGGCCAAGATGCTACCCAATGCTGGATGAAAGCAAGTCCCTGGTTTAATATAGGAAAAGTTTTAGGTTTCAGAAACAGAATTTTTCCAAATGTTTAAAATGGTGAATGGTTCCATGCACTGTGTTAACCAGGCTTCTTATAGACTAGTCCCAGAATCTGACCACCATGTGCAATACTGTTTCTAAGAAAAGTGTGCTCCAAGCAAGAGCCTTCAAATATTTAACCTGAGTGAATGAATATAACCTCTTCAAGGTTCAATGTTTTCATAAGCAAAATGAGAGAATAACAGAATTGATGTCCACTAAAAAAAGAAAAAAATTAGGTCTGGGTGCAGTGGCTCACGCCTGTAATCCCAGTACTTTGGGAGGCTGAGGTGGGTGGATCACCTGAGGTCAGGAGTTCGAGACCAGTCTGGCCAACAGGGTGAAACCCCGTCTCTACTAATAATACAAAAAAAAATTAGCTGGACATGGTGGCACACCACCGTAATCCCAGCCATTCAGGAGGCTGAGGCAGGAGAATCACTTGAACCCGGGAAGCAGAGGCTGCAGTGAGCTGAGACTGAGCCACTGCACTGTAGCCTGGACAAAAAGAGTGACATTCTGTCTCAAAAAAAATTTTTTTGGGGGAGAGCTTCCCAGTTGGGATCTGTCCACCTACACAGGGCAACACGATAGTACTGACATCTCTTAACTTTTACAGAATTTTCTGCCTATAATGCAGAGGGCTAAGAAGAGGTATTGTCAGCTTGGCTTTGCTGTCTCTGAGTGACAGTCTCTTGTATACATAAATAAGATGAATTTTCATAAAAGCATTAAGAGAGCATTAGTTTCATCTCAGAAAGAAAATGAAAAAGCAAATAACAAGTGTAGTCAAAAAAGAAATCAAAATATAGTTAAATAGAAATCAGATTGAGAAAAATCAGTGAAAACCTTTAACTGCAACCTCTTCTTTAAAAAGGCACTGGTACATAAAGATCAGGAAAGTATTTTAAAAACGTTACCAAACTTTAAGTTTCGTTTGTTTGTTTGTTTTTGTTTTTGAAACAGGGTCTCATTCTGTCACCCACGCTGGACTACAGTGGCATGATCGCAGCTCACTGTAGCCTCAACCTCCCAGGCTCCAGGGATCCTCCAACCTCAGCCTCCTGGGTAGCTGAGACTAAGTTCTTACTCACTGCATTAGACAGAGCTATTCAAACATCATTGCTTCCCATGGAAAATGCTGAGATGTTCATTAGGCTGTCCTGTTTACCCTGCCATTTCACTTCAGGTGTCACATCCTTTAAGATACTACCCCTTGCCAGGTGTGGTGGCTCACGCCTGTAATCCCAACTCTTAGGGAGGCAGAGGCAGGAGGATAGCTTGAGCCCAGGAAATTGAGACCTGCCTGGGCAATATAGCGAGACCCCGTTTTCCACAAAAAGGAAAAAAGCAAACAAACAAAACACAACTGTAAGAAGCTACCCTTGAACCCATCCCACCCTCAGTCTGATTTTTGAAGCTGCTTCCTGAGAGCCCAGGGCATCCTGGCACAGAGGTACTGCTATGGCAAAGACATTGAGTCTGCCCTCCCCACCAACTCAGAGCTCCTCAGGGGCAGGAATATGATATATACAAGCAGTTCATTTCATCTCTACAAACTGAAATGATTCGTTTGTCTTAATAATGTTGTCATTTTAAAGTACAGAATTTGAGAACTAGATGGAATCTCAGATGCCAATTATTCCAACACTCCACTCTTTTCTGAGACTTTAAATGAATTGCTCCAAGTTATAAAAGAATCAGGACCCAAAGCCAAACCTTGAAAATGCTACTCCAGTGCTTTGTGTCTGCATCCCATGCTGCCTTGCCTTCGTAAATTCACAGGATTAAATAAGGGAATCCTAAAAATTGTGTTCAATTCCCCCTTCACTTCTACCCCGATCAATTTTACGGGCAAAGAAACACCATTGGAGGCAATGAAGGGCTGTTCTCACAATTACATGGTTCACAGCAGAGCTGGGATGAAAACTCAGATCTAATATGCAGGACAGTGTTCCTCCCACAACTTCATAAAAAATCAACTTTCGAGTACAGGTCGTGGGTGTAGAGCAAAGGTCCGCATGGCACAGGGACCAAATCCTGCGGGCCACCTGTTGTTGAGTATGGTTTGCAAGCTAAGAATGTTTTTTACATTTTAAAATGGTTATAAAACAAGAAAGAATACTTTGTGAAGTATATGAAGTTCAAATTTCAGCGTCCGTGAATAAAGTTTGGTTGGAACATAGTCACGATCATTTGTTTAGGTCCTGAGTAACAAGGGCAGAGCTGAGAAGTTGTGAAAGAGACCTCAAGAAATAAGGCCACACATCTAATACCAACTGATCTTTGACAAAGTCAACAAAAATAAGCAATGGGGAAAGGACTCCCTGTTCAATAAGGAGTGCTGGCTAACGATATGCAGAATAAAATCGGACCCCTATTTATTACCATATACAAAAATTCACTCAAGATGGATTACGATTTAGATGTAAGACCACAAACCATAAGAATCCTAGAAGAAAACCTAGGAAAATACCTTTCTACATCAGCCTTGGGAAAGAATTTATTACTAAGTCCTCAAAAGCAATTGCAACGAAAACAAAAATGACAAATGGGACCTAATTAAACTAAAGAGCTTCTGCACAATAGACGCTATCAAGAGAGTAAACAGACAACCCTCAGGATGGGAGAAAATATTCACAAACTATGCATTTAAGAAAGGTCTACAAACCAACAGCAAAAAGAGCAACCCCATTAAAAAATAGGTAAAAGATATGAACAGACACTTCTCAGAAGTAGACATACAAGCAGCCAACAGACATGAAAAAATGCTCATCACTAATCGTCAGAAAAATGCAAATGAAAACCACAATGAGATAATATCTCATACCAGTCAGAATGGCTTTTGTTAAAAAGTCAAAAAATAACAGATGTTGGTGAGGCTGCAGAGAAAAGGGAATACTTATACACTGTTGGCGAGAATGTAAATTAGTCCAGCCACCATAGAAAGCAATTTGGAGATTTCTCAAAGACCAAAGAGCTGAACTACCATTCGACCCAGCAATCCCATTACTAGGTATATACCCAAAGGAAAATAAATCGTTCTGCCAAAAAGACACCAAAACCAGATACTGCATGTTCTCACTTGTAAGTGGGAGCTAAACATTAGGTAGATGTAAACTTAAAGATAGGAACAACAGACGGGAAAGACTACCAGCAGGAGAAAAGAGAGGGGGCTGAAAAACCACCTATGGGTACAATGCTCGCCACCTGGGTGACGGGTTCATTCATACCCAAACCCTAAGCATCACACAATGTATCTCTGTAATAAACCTGCACAAATACTCTCTGATTCTGAAATAAAGGTTTTTTTAAAATTGCAAAGTCTAAAATATTTAGTATCTAGACCTCCACAGAAGTTTGTCAACCCCTGATGGAGGAAGAACAAGCCGTCTTAGAAGTCAGAAGAAAATCAGTTCTACTACCATCAAACTCCACAGCCCTTAGTTTAGAAAAAAAAAGGGAGGCTGGGTGCAGGGTTCATCCCTGTAATCCCACTTTGGGAGGCCAAGGCAGGTGGATTGCTTGAGGCCAGAAGTTTGAGACCAGTCTGGGCAATATAGCAAGACCTCATCTCTACAAAAAAATAAAGTAAAATAAAAATAGCCCAGTGTGGTGGCTCATGCCTGTAATCCTAGCTACTTGGGAGGCTGAGGCAGGAGAATCACCAGAGCCCAGATGTTCCAGGCTGCAGTGAACTATGATCATGTCACTGCACTCTAAACTGGGCAACAGAGTGAGACCCTGTCCCTAAATAAAATAAGATAAAAACAGAGAGTTTGGATGAAACTGATGCACCACCTTCATTCTCTCACATTTTCATGTTTTCGTGCTAAATAAGAGGGCACTCATCCTCAGAGTTCATGCCACCCAGATGGGCAGAGGGTTAAACTGAGGCCTGTCTAGTTTGAAAGAAGCAGTAGGAAGAGACAGAGCTGGCCCAGGAACAAGAGGCTTCCCAGAGCATGCCCTCTCCACTATTCCATATGTACCTAAATGCCTGGTAAGATCTTTGCCAGCTCACTCACCTGATTCCAAGATAGTAAGCTTTCCTTGATTCTGAGAGTAACTCAGCCCACCTAAATGGAGGAAGCAAGGGCCAAGCATGACTTTTTTTTTTTTTTTTTTTGACAAGAGTTTCACTCTGTTACCCAATCTGGAGTGCAGTGGGACAATCTCGGCTCACTGCAACCTCTGATTCCCAGGTTCAAGAGATTCTCCTGCCTCAGCATCCCAAGTAGCCGGGACTACAGGCATGTGTCACCACACCGGGCTAGTTTTTGTCTTTTAAGTAGAGACGGGGTTTCACCATGTCGGCCAGGCTGGTCTTGAACTCCTGACCTCAGGAGATCCATTTGCCTAGGTCTCCCAAAGTGCTGAGATACATGCGTGAGCCACTGTACTGGGCCCAAGCATGACCTTTTAGGGTCAGCCACCTGAAGTAGAATCCTGCACTGGCCCCTTACTCCCTATGAATCCCAGGGCCAGTTAGGGCTTGCTGGGTTTTCCCACCTAAGAAGGTAAGTACTTCCTTCACAGGCTTGGTTGGAGGATTCAATGAAATATACTCAAACTGTCAGCTCCCTTGTAATCATTCTCTCTCCCTTTCCCAGAGGCAGTGTTTGGAGAGTAACAGAAAGTAAGCCTTGTTAGGAAAGTTTCTTTCAAATTAACTTAAAGAATTTTTTTCTAGAGCCCTAGAAAAAACACCCAATCAGTGCAATAAAAATAGGCTCAAGTGTTCAGTTGGGTATTTTCCTCCCATATCTTAGTTCTTTGAAGCTTCTTCCAAATTATAATCCAAAAATAAGAGTGCTATAATTTTTAGAAAAGTTATGTTGATGTAACTTTTATAGCAAGCTACCCAAAGAATCAAGCTATAATATATTATATCCATGCTCAGTTACGAAGACCAAAACTATTTAAAAAATACCAGAACCAGAAAGTCCTAGTTTATTTAGTCTGGCTTCTTTAACATCAAGTTCTTGTTGTTCTTAAAATATTCAGCTTTGGCTGAATTCCAAGACTGACATAAGCCTACTTCAGGTGCTTGGAAGAGGCTGAAGAGAATCAGAACTGAAAACAAAATTGGAAAATAAAGCCTTTTATGTGATCACAAATGCAAGAAGTGTATTGTTTTGAAACCAATGAACCAGGTTTTTA